GATTTTTCAACAAAATTGATTTTGCAAATATTTTAATATCATTACAAGTGTTCATGTTTCTTATCTATAATGCACTAAATTCGCATAACATCCTACGCGCATATCGAATGAAGCAAAATATTGAAGTAGTCCTCATTACTCCATACACATTAAATTTAAATACGCACACATACACATTTATTTATACGTTTCACACATAAACTAACAATCAGTCGAATAGTTGGACGATACTTACTCGTTATTTAGAAAAATAAGTTAATCGTTGAGGTGAAAAGTGGAACGTTTATCGATCTTTTTAACGACCATCGCTCGTTAATTTCTCGCCTCTTAGAGAAAATAACGGGATTCTCGTTTGAAAGATTTCTCGTTTGTTCGTTCATTCGAACGGGCGTTCATACGTAGAATTAGTGTAATTATATATTATTAATTACTTCCCAAGTGCTTTCGAGATGTACGATTAATTTAATTTGCTGCTTAAAAAGATATCGTTAATATCGTTAAATTTCACATTACATTATGTTACATAAGAAAAAAAATAAATAAAAAGGAACATTATATCGGACGAAAACAATCTAAATTTCTTAAAGATTCAAATGGAATTCATGAAATTTGAGTTCTTTCAAAATCGATGAAAATGACAATATTAACAAATCAAATCAAAATTATCCGCATTGTTTTTACAATGAGATATTTCTTATCTAATAATTTTCCAAAAATTAATGAAAAAGCATATATGTTTATTGGAATGTAGCACTTTTGTAAAAAGTAAACTCTCTCAACAGAAATATAAATTTACATACTATTAACTGATATTACTCCCATAAAAAATAAAACTTATTCACATTTTGACGATACAATACATGTACATATACACATTGAAAAGTGTTACTTAACTCGATCTATCGTGAATTTCCTTTTGGTTTCTTCTTTCTGGTTTCTCACGAAAGTAACAATACGATATCACATTACTCTCTCGATCGCGTTATTTCACACGTCGTGTGAAATTCGTCTTCGTTTGGTCTCGGTGTCTTAGACTTCATAAGGAAGGCGCGAAACTCACCAAGCGTTAATTAGGCAAAAGATTTGTTAATCAACAACCGAAAGGATGTTACTTAACGATTTCACCATTTATAAGAACGCTAGAATAGATCGTCGTTTTCGTCGTCCTAGTCGTCCTCGCTGATATTATTATTGTTCTTACTCTTGTGTTACATAATTATTATGAGCACTAAAACTCTCGTATTCCCCAGAATTTCGCAAAGTTTAACAAAGAAATAAGATCCGTCATGAATTTGAATCTCGTCATTTCACAGACTCGCGACATACATGTAGAAATTTCCTAAAATACGGTTAACAGATGTTTCGCGATGGACAAAAAGAAGAACAACAAAATGAGTGTGAAAAAGAAGAAATCATTTTTAATCCTAATGATCTTTGAAATCATTTGAAATTATTCATCTTTTTATTCGTATGTATCTACCTAATGAACTTGTATATTAGAAAAGATTAGCAAGCGTAATCAAGAATGATCTACAATTCTAAAGCTTGTTCACGTAGTTGCAATAATTTCCATTGCAAGGTCAGATTTGATATGAACGTTCTTCCTAGATAAATATAAATTCCCGTATTAATCGATGTCCCGTACACGTGATCGTTTCTAAAATAGAAACTCAATTATGTTGACTATCAACGAATATACCATTCAATAGCAAATTACATCACTAGATTCTATGGTTGCAGTTACGTAGCTTGAAAGATATTGTTAATCAATGAATCGTGCTATAATTAGAATTTTACGTAAGACATTAATCTTAGAAATTAATCATTTAATCATTTTTATCGGCTAAAACAGATATTTATATTCAATTGAAATTGAATTAATTTAATATTCATCTTTAATCTTCTTACCTATTTATGGAATGAACTAAAACTAAATTATGATTTTATATTTGAAACATTTGTATTTATAATGTAACAATTGTTCTTTGTTTAATGAGTTGGACCCATTATTTTTTCAGGAATAAATATCAAAACATTCTAGGATCTACTGTATTAAATTGTCTTTAAAGTTTTTTTAAATTGATGTAAAATAAAATTCTGTCTTGATACTTCAAATAATATCATAATATTTTAATAGTAGATATTTTTGTGTTATGATAAATATTATTTTTCTTCAGTTTTAAAAATAATATTTATCATATAATAAATTAGTATTTGTTTAACGAGTTGTATTTAACTAAACGATCATAATTTCGAAACTACTACGTTTCTCTCTATAATTATCCATCAGTTGAATAAATATTGTGAAAAATGTCAAGAATATGTTATTTTCTCTATAGAAAAAAATCCAAACGACCTGAATAGAAAGTTGGACCGCATGTGGAAAAACACAGTTTTTTCAACTATGTGTTAAATCTTCTTCCGTTCCGCGTCCATATAACGATGCGCAATTGAGATTAAAAGTCTCGAACGTCGAGAAACGCCAAGAAGGAAGTTATTAATAGAGGAAAAGAGAAAGAGAGAGAAACCCGTATTTTACGGCACGATAATAATACATAGGTAACTATAAACCTAAGTTCCCGTTACATCCGGTTCTCGCGTGATACACAGCAAGGAAAGTGGAGAAAACTTCCGTTAAGCTTCACTTTCAGGACGATTTACCAATGATACGACGCGAGATTTTCTTCCTAAATAATCAAATATTTCAGGATAAAAAGAATGAACATAAGAATAACTTAACCGTTAAAATAAAAAAAAGAAAACAGCTGTGTACGTATACGACTTTTTGCATTGATTATCGATAGTGTCTCATAGGAGCGTACGATCTATCGATCGTAACTTTACACGATTCGAATCCAATCTAAATCGATATAATTTCGACATAACCTTATACCAAGCTAGTATAGAGCTACATTCCTTGTAAAGGTCTCCCACGATGGCGGCGCGGCGTGACTTCGTGACGAAACAATCGAATCATGGGCGTATCGAACTTCGTACAATTTATTAGCTAATTCTAATAATGAATATAGAATGCACAAAATCAAAGATTACAAGTAAAAGTACGAAATGTTATATAATTATTATTTAGTAAAAAACAAAAACGAATAAGTGTAATAATACATCATTTTATGCCATGTATATAATTAATAACATAAATTGTAATTATGTAATAAATTATAATTATTTGAAATGTAACATATTTTGTCAATACTTCATTAAAAATTTATTATTATTTATTATTATATTAAGCCATTATATATTAAATGGCTTATATATATATATATGACAAAGGTACATATATAAGTTATAATTCGATGACGTATAGAAAATTCCTCTTTGGCAGAGCACGCAATCGATCGAGCAATAAAACGTTTTTATCGTCGAATGATCGAGACACGATCGAACGATTTTGCAAGCCAACTCTAAAAGAATAATCTCGACGATCGAAAGTAAATCTCTTTCTCATATATGCAACCGGACCAACTTCCAAGTAGCAATGATATAATGCCTGACCGAGCCGAGAACGCACGAAAAGACATCGGATATATTCGAGAGAGAATGGGGAAAGTCTTCCGGTATGAGATGTCGAGCAGAATTCAACGAAAGGGAATGGAATAGAAAATCTAATGTCCTATTAGATACGACTTATATTAGGAAGGGAAATTTATGACATAGAACGATAATGCGAATTAGTTTTGGGATCATTGAACCTTTTCTAGTTTTTCTTTCTTCTACTTTATTATTAATATATACGTTTTCTATCATTTTAAAAAATAATACTTTCAACAAAAATCTTAAAATTAGTAAATGAAAAATTACAATATGTTCTTATGTGCGTGGAACCGAAATTACACTTAAATATAAATCCTAATCAAATGAATAACTATAACGATGAGAGAAGCATAATTCTAACAAAATATATTTCTCTATTTAAATTTCATGCACTTGGCGAAAAATCATAAAACACAAAGAGATCGTGCGATCCTTTTTATTCGTTGCACTCTAAAAACACGCTGTAAAATCGTGAAACTTTTTTATGTAATTTCGATAAATACTACAAGTACAGTTACAACAGTTAGTAATAACAATCTTGCATATATTAAAAAACACATCTTTTGACAATATATCACAGTTTAATGTATTTTTGTAGTATTTTATATTCGAATATACTACACTATATCCAGTCATTTTTATTAACAATTCTGACATTATACATATTTATTGCTGAAGAAAATACGAAATATTCTAATATTAAACATTATCCAATCCAATGCTTAGACAAATCAAACAAGGAAAATATTATACACAAAAAAGTCTATATAAAATAGCAAATATTCCAATATTGCATAGATCGTATAATTTCTATATATAACAATTTGAACATTTATTATAATCGTAAGGCGTATCGAAGGATAGCCAAAGCTAATGTTTATTATCCGAATGACGATGTGACTACCATGGCCAATAATGGCGCTCATCGTAAGAAGCTTGAGGAACTGTGTGTGGAAAGTGAACTCACATGCGGGGAAAGTTAAGACTCCTCGTGAAACTTTTCCCACGAGTTTTACTTTCAGTATTTCCTATGCAACTACCTTTTGCTCTCCTTCGTTGTCCGTGGAAAGGAACTAAACGAAAATAAATGACTTAGATCTCAAATTTACGAGCAACGCCCATTTCAAGATAATGCTCCTCCATCAGTTTAATCTTACCTTCTCATTAGATTTATCTTCAAGAACAAGATTCTTCTGAAAGATCTATAGGTACTTAGAGTGATCCTCGTAAACCTTTTATATCTCCTTCAAGTATGTGGGATTTTAAAAAATAGAAACATTCTCTAGTAGCACAGAAATTTGATCAGGTTAAGGTTTTCTCGATCAGAATTTATTCAAGTAGGTTTATTTTATTTATTAGAAAATGTTTATTTCTAATTAATTCTATATTTTGTTTTATTAATTTTCAATGAGATTATAATTTGAAATGAATAACAAAATATTTGGCAGGTCTATTGGCGGTTTCCGCCGAAAAGGAGTCTGCCGTATCGAACGTGGCAGAAAAATCGTCGTCGTCGTCTCCCACGGCGAGTGCAGATGACATCGTCATGCTAGAGATCGACGTAAAAGGTCCTGCTAAAAGATCACCGATATCAGCCAATGGCGTTTATGGAGCATCGCCAAGCCAATACGTTGTTCGACATGGTGATGACCCTCAAGAGGTAATAGAGATTTTAAATCTTAATCATTTTTCACTAACGCGAACCTATCATCATACTATTACAAAAGCTTATTCTAACAAAAAAGGATCACACAAAAAATCGATGCAAAAATACATAATATCTTTATAAAGTCATATAAAAACTCTAAGTAATTATCATTTCTTATATTCCATTCTTCTTTATAAAGACATCGACAACGAACTTTTATGTATTTTCCAAATCAATGATCTTAGAGTAACTAATTATGTCTTGTTTCCCATAATAAAGATTACATGCTCTTTTAGAATCATAAGAATCGCGTGTTTCTACGTGTACTTCAATATGCACAATATAATATCTTGTTAGTTTTACTCGTTGATTATACGAAGTTGTTGAAAAGAGATCGGTTAAAGTTTGATACTCGAGTAACTGTGTCAGTTAATCTAACAGAGCAGACAATTTGATCAAAGCAATAATCGTTGAATATGAAAGAAAGAAAGAGATAAAAGAGAGATATTATGTGATAGCACAGTTCTACTCTTGCTAAAGGATCTTAATTTCTTTTTTCATCCTGCGAACGATAATCGAGGTTAAGGTTGTATGTTCAACCAACACGGATCCGTGGATTAATAAATACATAATCTCGATCAGGTAACAATCGATTTGAAATGCATTAACGTATTGTAGCCACTATTCACCTCCTACAAGAACACGAAGGTTTCATGCAACAACTAACGCCATTATCCTCGGTCAGCCGTGACCATTGGCCGCCTATCACTTGCTGGCCAACGCATGCTGATCAAGTAGCCGCGAATAGAACATTTTTATTTTTTTCCTATATTTTCTGTAATTTGCTTTTTTTTCGTTACCTACTTTGAAATATAATAGATCAAAAGAAAGATACAATACAATTCTCTTGTTTTAGTTTGCTTACAATCAAATGAAAATTAGAATTAGGAATTTAGGATGAAGAAATAATTTAATATAAATAATATATATATAATAGATATATAAATATATAAAATATTTGAAAATTTAATCAAAGAAATATAATATTAGTTTATAATTAGATGAAAAAATAATGAAATCTAACGATCGACTTAATGAAACAATACGTAATGAATAATCATCACGTTCGATGTCACTGTCATATTTAGTTTCTATGGCGGAACTCAAGCGTTTAAATAAGTAGTGCAAAATGGCGTAACGAAATCTATATACATACATACATACATTCATTTCGCAGTTGCGCGCTCAGGATAATGAGAGATTGTAAATTCCTAAAGAGAGGGGACTCCCTCTACTTTCTATATCTCTCTTTTTATTTTTCTCAGTTGGTAGCCTTCGTACATTCTCTCTCTCTTTCTCTTTCAAATTTTATCTTGTTACGAAAGCATACCAATTTTCAGTATGAAAAACACACTAGAATAAAAGATTTTCAGTTTATAGTCATATAATAGGAGGCCATACTTAATTTTTAAGCATACTAATATCAGCAGAAATAATTATAAATAAGGTACTGAGGTCACATACTTTAAAAAGAAAATCATATATATTCTTAGAAAGTAAAATCCCATAAAATAAAAAACGTTCGAAGAAAATTAGTATCCATCGTAATTACGAAGGTAATAAATGTACGAAGGAGGATTTTATTTCCTACGTTTAAGAAAGAAAATGATTATTATCGATGCATAATAGTTCGTTTCAGTCGATCATCGTCATGGTCGTCGATTTAAATCGTGGTTATTGATTTTTCCGTAACGTCGGGCACAATTACGTCTAAATTTTGTGAAGATTTTCTTATGTCACACTAAAATTGTATAATTTGTTCATATAGTTCAAGGTTAATATATCAAGGTATATGTATTTGCTAATAATAATTATAAATTACGTATACTAACGTAAATTATACGAAACGAAATTTCTTTTTTTTCGTTTAACAATATATCATATAATTCTCTTATTATACAATTAGACTGTAGGAATGAAAAAGCATACTATAAATTTATCAAAATAAAAAATATTATGTTTATTCTAATATATTAGAACTATGCTATATATTAAACGCGCGGTAACTTATCCTAGATAATCAACATGCCAGACTTCATAAAATAAAAGAAAAAAATTCTTTGAAGAATATCTCGCGAGATCGACATGAGCATCGAATAGGGTTACATTATTTAGAGGGAAAAGACGCGTTTCTTTTGTGGCAGCTGCATGTGCTTGACTCGTGATCGTTGAACAGCATTAAATGTTCGAACACGATCCCGATTGGCCTGTTGCATAACACGAACAACAAGTTTGCACGCCTTCTAATCGCAGCGTCGTAAGATAGAACCGGTAAAACCACACCCAACACAACTAACCGAGAGAGCAAATCCCTCTGCTAGCTATTTTATCAAATGTTACTTACGGTCGTTTCGTTTTCCGTTCCGTCGATCCTATCTACGGCCTTGCCTTGTCTACTAGACCTAGTCCACTAGGATGAGTCACATTAAACAATGATGGAGAAAGAAAGAGGAAGAGAGAGAATTGTCTACCTACAATTTATAAGTCGTCGACTCATCCTACAACATTATATATATATATATACAACGATACTCTATACATACAACGATACTCTCTTTCTATATAAACCGAACCTATTGATATCATCATAGGTAACATTGATGTGTTAACCTTTACAGTAACATCAAGTTCATTGCGAGCATCTTCTTACGCAATAAATTCATCTTGAATCATTTTTAGTATCCTAATGCATCTCCATTTCTTTGTTCTATCTCATTTCTTGTTTCTTATTTTCTATAAAGGTGGAACAGAAAAGAAACATTAAACCTTTCCGTAGGAGATAGAACAGTAAACCGATAGGGGAAACATGTGAAAGAGTTATGCAAAATATAGTATGAAAAAATAATTGATAAATCTTCCTCGACTTTCAAAAATGGAATACAGATTCCGAGAAAACACAATCTGTCCGTAAAAGTTAGAAAGATAATTAATTACATTAGTAGTATTGCGGATGAAATTTCACACACACTGCGGTATATTGTCTTTTATTTTAAAAATTAATATGAATATGAAACTTGATAGTGTGAAAGTTTTTCTTTTTATTCAATATTAAATTAAAACGATCATATATATTTTTTTATATGACGATTTCAAATATCACATTACTATGATAGCTTTTTATTTATTTCATTCTTTATCGTTCATATCGTTCAAGAGGAATTTGAATTATTAATTTTGAATTATTAATTTTGAGAATTATTAACTATTATCTTGAATAAGCCTTCATTTTTTATTGACTAAAATTGAAATAATATATAAAAACAGAAAAGAAATAAGATTATTTAAGAATATTTATTCATTTGTAGCTCTCACCGGAGTACCTATCGGCGGCACTGCAGCAATATTCTCAATCGCAACCACAAACGTTCGGTCCAACAACTGCAACGCCACTATCCCAGCGCAGACCATTACCAGCATACGCTAGACAACAACAACAATTGCAACAAGCCTACCACAATTATCGAAAACCAGCTGTAGTACCGCCGAGACCTCGAGCACAGCTTCATCCTCAAGCTTTGGCTCAAGCCGAAGTGGCAGCTCAATTACAGGCTCAAATTGATGCTAGAAATCGTGCAGATGCCATACATACAGCTCGTTTGAGTCCCAGTGGTACGTCGACTTATCAAGTTGCAGCATATTCCGAACCGAAATTGGGAACGTTCGAACAAGAACTTCTTCAATTGGTATCAGCCAACCAAGCTCAGGAATTTAAGCTTGTTCCAACGCAACCAAAATCAGCATTGAAATCTGGCTATGCGTCTGAATATTCCCAACAATTAGTAAGTTATCCGAGTCAGTATTCCAAACCAGCAGCAGTAGCAGCACCAACACCAGCAGCATCCCATTTACCAGAACAATATCACATCGAGACTACAGCACCGCGTTATCAGCAACAAGCACCAGCTTATCAATCTGTCGAAGAACCAGTTCAAATCCAATMCCAGCCAGTGCAATCCCTTCCAGTTCAAGCTAAAGAATTCAGACCTTCTCCTCAATATCAGTATGCCGAAGATCATAATAACCTGAAAGCTGTTCAACAGGCTCAAGCCCAAGCTGAAGCCGAAGCGATAGCAAGAGCTCAAGCACATGCTCAAGCTCAAGCTTTAGCTTTCCAAAAAGTTACGCAAGCTGCTCACAACAAGCATCATCAGGATGCTTTTCAACAGATCCAAATAGTGAACGAACGTCATAGACAACAAAGTGCTTTAGAACAAATTCAGCAAGGTGCACAGGTCAGTGACGCAGGACGTGCACATATCGAGGAACAATATCATCCGAAAGATCCCGAAGCCGCGTACAGAGCACGCTTGAAGGCTCAAGCTCAAGAAGAATTAGCCGAGGCTAGAAGAGCTCATGAAGCTGCAGAATACAAGGCGCACTCCGACGCCATATTGAAACTTCAGGCACAACAGCAGGCTCATTTGAAAGCGCAAGAGGATGCTCATAAGTACGCTTTGAATTTCGAGAAAAATCAATTACAAGCCCAAGCGCAAGCTCAAGCTCTGGCACAAGCTCAAGCCGAAGCTTTGTATAAAGTTCATCAGCAAAATCGTGCCAAAGCGAATAACGAAGCTGTAGCGGTGGCCAGAGCTCAAGCAGAAGCAAGGACAAAAGATCCAGAACATACACCAGTAATTCAATATCTTTTGCCCAATAGTACACCTCTTCCATCTCCAAACAGTTACTACACCAACGACGAAGTACAAAAATATCAAGCTTCGGGATCATCCTACGTTCCCAGATCTGTTCCAAAAGACGAAGGACCTCCTCTAGCACAGGAAATCCAACCTACGATCACTCAGCCTCGACAAACTCACAAATTGAAGATACCAGCTGCCTCGCCATCCTCCGTTTACGTGTCTCAATCAGGTCTATTAAAAAAAGCCCCAGTTAAATCACTAACTATCGAAGAAATCATTGAACAGGACCAAGTCAATGGACCTCAAGTCGTACGTATTCCTACATCCAAAGGACATCAAACACTAACGCAAGAAGACCTCTCAGCCCTTCTTCATTCCGACTACTCGGTTACTCCCATTCCCCAAACTGCTAAACCTACTCAACAAACTTACATCGGAGAAAACGCACCGGCAGGATACTACGTGAAAAAACAAAGAAATCCAGTTGCCAGGCCTGAATATATTACTTACGAAGATGTAATCCCTCAAGCTCGTAAACCAACAAGAAAGAACAGACCAATTTTAAAGCCACAAGGTAGTGAAGCTGATGCTAGTGAAAAAGTTACTTATCTAGTACCTTTGGAACAAGAATTTGGAACCAAACAACCATTGGTTAGACGTATCCAAGAATGAAAATCGTATATCCATCCTCGTTCTAATTGTTTTTACCCAACTTGTATAGATACAATCGATAATTGAACTAAACATCATTGATGATATTATCAAAACTATAGAAATCATCAAATATTAAATTAGAACAAGAAAATCTAACTAAATTATACAATTTTTTCATGAGATTTATTACCGATAATATCATGACGTTTCTTTTTAAACTATCTTGACACGCATACAAAGCACAACCATACACGTATTTCCTTCCCATCCCTAATGATATTATCCAATTATATTCAAAAAGCCCAATTTCTTTTGACTTTATGATTAAATATGACAAAATATGATTATATCATTTGTAGTCACAACTGGTGATCATAACCTAATTGCTCTTGTTTTCATTTTGGCTTTGTTGTCATTTTCAGCTCATATTTGTTGTATGCGCGCATGTTTGTGATTAAGACATTTCTCTTGAATTTTTACTTATTTTTTTAGACATTTATCCAGTACAGCATTCCGTAATAATTTAATCAAATATTATCAAATACTTTACACGAAGAGTGTGTAGAAAAGTACAAGTAAAACTTGTAAAACTAATCTAAAACTTTAAACAAATGTGGAAAAAATCTTGTATACAGAAGATGATGATTATTACTATACTATTATAATTACTATTATTATTACTATTATTATTATTATTATTATTTTATTATATATCTGTAAGTGGTAAGCGTGCTGACGGTGCTGAGTCGGATGATTTATTAATTTATATTCATTTTGTAAATACTAGATTTTTTAACTAATAAAAATGTTTAAAAATCCCCATACTTTTTCTTTTATTTATGTTTACAAAAAATCGTTTCTTTTTCTCATGTCAGTATTTGCCAAAATACTGACATAAAAACAAATACACTTTATTGATAAAATTGTACAATTACTATCCAAAAGGTCGAGTCATTCTTTAAAAGTGATCAAATTTTCGCCGTAATTTAAGAGATCCACTAAATTATCGATCGTTATTCATTAATGACGCTATTCATTGTTGAGAGCAATTAGTTGGTATGACGAAATCAAATAAAACTGTTTAAGTAACATGAAAGTTGAAATATTTCATGAACGTATATCATATTTTTATACAATTATTATAAGGTGGATCAAATATTTCTAAATGAATCAAAAGTCTCGAATTTTAAGTGGACCAAAAGTTTCCAGGTAGGCTAAAAATCTTTAGATGATTTGAACAAATATTTACTTCCTTTCAAAACTCTGTATGCTTGCAATTAAACTTGTAGTTTAACCACCCAAGTTTTTTATTTTATAATCTAAACAAAAATCAGGCAAAAATATTTGAAGAAATAGTAATCAATTTTTGATGTTATCTAGAAATGAATGATCTACTTTAAATAGAGAACACGTATATAATAGTATAGATCATTTATTATGAAAGTGTTTGAAATAAATAAATATGATGTTTTCACAATATTGTTCAAAAATTGACTTATACCACTTTCATAATAAACGGCTCATATAAATCAATTTTCCATAGAAATTTGTCGTCGAATATTTTCTTGTCTATCGATTAGAAACATTTCACAAAAAAAATTAAATATTAAAAATTAAAATGGATTTATATATAAAATTGTAACAGCTTCATATTTCGCGTGTATGCAAGATGTCCCTATATAAGTGACAAAGCCGGTTTAAAATGTGGACTGTAAAAAGAAAATATAGATAAATGTAATAGAAATAAAAGAAAAAAATTGCGAAAATTGATTAGAATTTCTTGCAATACAATAAAAACACGAAAAAAGATGGAAAACGTTTTTTTAAAGAAAAGTAAAAGACCGATTTCACGAAAAAAAAGGCAAAATGCGTTGGTGCATTTGCGATTAACATTAAACGTACACCATTCGAATATTTATTTAGTTGGAAGAACAAATATTTTTTCTTCGGCCGATACTTGAGAAAAAAGAACAGTAAAGAGCAAAGAGTAAAAGAAAAGAAAAGAAAATAAAAGAAAAGAAAAGAAAAGAAAAGAAAAGAAAAGAAAAAGAAAAAGAGAAGAGGTTTATACTGTAGACATAATATAAAGCGGCTATTCGAAGATCCTGTATTACGAGAACATACCGATTACACAACGAAGGACAACCAGTTTTCTGGGCGTTAACTTTGCTCCAGCACACAAAGCCTTCACCGCTCGCCATTTGCTTTACTTTCGGTTTCGGTGGCCACGTATATTCATTAAAATACATATAACAAAAAATAAGATAAAGACTACGAAAAGAAACAAAGAACCAATACAGTAGTATTCGTATACGAGGATAATGGTCGATCTTATAAAAGTCGATGCTTTTTTACACTGAACTTTTTTTATATTCCAATTTATCCAATATTCTCTCTATTTCGTATATACTCTCTTACACATACATATATAGATATATATTATTTTATTATATTATACATATAATAAAATAAATGACTGCAATAACACGAATAATGCAGAAATTTGTTTAGCTACTATAGCTAATAAAAGTCCCAGAAAAGCAAATTTTTAGGGATGATTTTGGAACATTTTGAAGATTTAGGACCAGTGTGCGTCGGCAAAAAAACACCCGGGACAAACCTACGTCGTACCTTATAATTTGAATACTTTTTCTTCCCTCTCTATCGTCTTCTGGTCATAATATAATCTTAAATTTCTTCTCTCAAACCTTATCTCATTTTTGCAGAACAATTACGAATAACATCAAATTAAATTTGACCTAGAGAAGATCTTTGTTACTGCAATCATAAGACAGTCATCTAGGGTAGATATCGTTTTGAGAAACGAAACATAACAAACGATACAAAAATTAAGACAATTTTTTCTCGTCCCTATGAACCTAATAATCAAATACAAATCTCATTCCAATGACATTATAAATAAACTAATAGAAAAGTAATTCTATTTTGAACAAGCCCGAAAATGAAAGGAAAAAATAAATGTTGGAAGAGATTGAAAAATGAAATAAAATATTGACCTTATTTTGTTGTGAAATATTGACCTTAAAAAACAAGTCATTCGAAGTAAACATGCAATATGCACTTTTCTCTCTCTCTCTTATTATTAAATAGAAATCCTTAAAATGAAAAAAGAGATATTTGAATTTTGCAATTTCAACTAAGTTAAATAAGATCCTAGAAGATAAAAAAAAGAAAGAAAGAAAGTAAGTAAATTGGCGAATAAAGAGATAGGTGTGATCGTGTCGAGTGCGAGCATAAGAGTGAAAGGTGATTTTTTCGTGAGACGAAAATTCAAGTGTAAGTCTTCGCGCGGTTACAAGCTCCGCGATTGGTGTTTCCGAATGCATCCCACGAGCAATTATGCTCGAATAACGTGATATGAATAAATTAACTTACATTAATAGACATTAACTCTAGCAATTTCGAATTAACGTTATTATTCATATTAACAATATACTTTGAAACATTTTATTTTTGGAGCACTTATCCTTTCGCGACGCACGCAGAGAAATAAATTGGCATTTCCATAAAATAGGACGCGATATCATAATAATAGGGTATACTCGTTATGCCAATGTCAAGGCATTCAACTCGATTACTTTATATCCAGTATATAAAACTGTGTATTCAATTTTTTAACGCATTCAATTATTGCCTCTACCATTCTTATCAAGGATTTTTGTCGAAAAAATGTAAATTCAGTCGACCTACATATAGCAAAGTAAAATAATACGCATTTATGTATAATGTGATATCCTTTGTAGAAGTGACGACCAATCGAAGCAACGAACGAAGCCTCAACAATTTTGACGAAAATTGATGAATGATCTCTTGTGTTATACGTTATTGAAAAAAGAAATCGAAAAATTTGTTAAACACACAAATTGAGAACACTCGATTACTGCAAGAATTACACAAGCACCCATAAATTGTTAGACAAGATAGTAATCTATTGAAATTATTACGAAACTCGATGATTATGACGAACAAGGTGAAGATCGATTTATCGATCGGCAAACTCTCAATGGCGATAGATCAATCTCGATCTGTTTTTTCGTCTTTGTTTCAATTGTAAGGGGATCATTTCCTTTCACCAATGAAAAAGTCGTGATTTCAATATTTCATTTTGATACAATTAAAACTGTATGGACAGAAGTTCAAGAGAATACAATCGTATTTAATTAAAAGGAATAATAAAAATACTAAAACAAAATTTGATCAATTTTTCTTCTCTTCTTTGGTCTTTCTTTTCTCGTTACCTCATTGGTAACAAAATCGACCTAATTTATTTTCAAGATAAAAAGAACCGGTTTCTACTTTCATATTAACAAGTATAGGTGATCTGTTCATTTATACTAATGTTCAGATAATAGTGAAGTAGTTATGTAATTTTTTTTATCTGACCTATACATAATTATACGATCAAATATAATTGTTCCTATAGAATTATTTGAATTAATTCAAATATATGAAATAATATTGTTTCATTCGTTTGAAATTTGAATGAAAAGAAGACAAACAATTAAATCCTTTTCATTTAGATATTATAATACGAATAAATAACACAACATAGTGGTACAATTTATAATTTATTTAGGATTTGAAGAAAATAAATGATTGGAACATTTGAATATTTTGAACTTTCCCAAATTGAATAGGAATTTAATACGAAAAGGAAAAAACGGAAATGAAAGAAAAAGAATAAGATTATTTTCACTTTTAGTGAGAAAGAACGGAGAACATTCCATTAGCATACCGAAATTTACACGGACTTCCAGAATTGCTGAGTTGAATTTCAATGAATTTCAACAAAGAGGAAGTCATCGACCTAGTCGAATTCTGTCAGTTTTCACTTTCGAACGATCCCTTGTCGTCACTTCTCTTCGATTTATTCGTGTTACCAGCACGTATACTCTGTTAATCTTAAAATTAGAATAGTAAAGGCGTAACCAAAAGGTGTGGCATAATCATTCGACTATGTAAAAATCACATAGAATCCCAGAAATATATCTAAAGAGAAATTTTCTTAATGAACATCGTCGTGTGACGTGCCTCATTATAATAATAATAATAATCAAATGGATTATAGAAAATTAAGGAATTTCATCGGTGAATTGTTGAAATAAAAGACAAGTTAATGAATAACTTGAAAAAATGACTTTTTGTCTTTTTTTACACAAATTTTTTACAAAGAGTCTTATCTGATTTTGCAAATATCAATGGAAAATAAAAGAAAAAATTGCTCGAAGAAAATGTTATCTCTTCTCGTATATGAATTATTTTTGTTTCTTTTATTTCCAGTAAAATATCGATCATTTTAGATGTCTGTAAACTAATGAAAAGTAACGAAAGTTGAAGGTATTTATCATCGAGAATAACACTAAGGTAATATCGCGATGGAGGTGGTTTCACGAATATGATCCAAGTAGAAATGACCCAATTCCCATTGGTTCCCAATTCTCCGTGGGCCTCGCAAATGTGAAAGAAGGGCGGGGGAGGGGGTATACCATCGTCATGTTTTTTCGTTGGGAGGGGCCCATCGGTCCCAACACGTGGACATATAAGCACGGCTGGGTAGCATCGATGGCACACAGTCACTTACAACCCTTTCCTTGCTTCGTGCATCAGGAGAAAGCGAAGATTTTCAAGCTTGACACGGGTCTAAATCAGTTTCAAAGGTGATTCAAATCGTTTCTTCAAAAATTCCGTTAATACATTATTCTGATCGTTTTGTTCGAGTTACGTAAAGAACAAAGCTCGCTATTGTTCTCGCAAATATTTTCTCTAATAAATTGACAAACATAATTTGTAATTACAATCAATTTATATCTGATAATTATTATATTCCTGATTGAACAATAAGAGTTACTTTCAAAAATAACAAAATAACTATTCCAAATCACACAGAATTGAGGTATTTATTCGAAATTATCGAAATATATATATATATATATTTATTCGAGTAATTATCGAAAAGTAATTTGAATTTTAGGATGCAACTGTTGTTGGTGATGACTGCAGCATTGCTGCAAGTTGGTTTCGGCGGTCATGTGGCTGTTAGGATGCCATATTTGAATCCAGCTGGTGTAACATACGTTAACAACGTCCCAGAGGAATCATCCCTTGCATATGCAGCCTCTTATCAAACTCAGCAACACTTCGGATCTCCTCTGCAGTATGCCGCACCCTTGCAGTACGCTCAAGCTGCGGTTCCAGCTAAAGTAGAGGCACATCACGTGGGATATGCAACTGCACAAGTACCAGCTGTGGCAGCTGTTCCTTATGTCAAACATATACCCACTGTATCTCATGTTCCTGTTACCAGGATCGAGGCTCAACCGGCTGTATTTGAAAAACAGCTCGATGTCATTAAACCTGCAGTATCTACGCGTAAAGTAGAGGTCAGAATGAAACCACAATCTAGATTTTTCTTTTCCTCCAAACAGAATAAGTTGAAATATTTCAACTAATCAAATATTCCCATCATTGATCTAACTATAAATTGGCTTAATTAGCAGTATAAGACATAAGAAAAAAGATAATATATAATTGTTATAATGTAGGTACGCCGGCCAGCTATTCAGAAACAATTCTACGATATCGAAGAACGCGTGATCATCAGACCAGCTGGTTCAGCAGTAGTAGAACTTGACGAGCCAACGTCTAAATCACAGAAAGGGCCTGCTGTTATACAACCTTTGGCTTATAATCACGTCTCCGTTGGCCACTCTCCAGTCCAAGTGCCAATACTTTCTCATTCGGTTAATTCAGCTCCGATCTTCGCTCCCTCCTCGACTCCAGCACCAGCGATAATATCTTCGAGCCCTTCATCGATTTCCGAGGAAGAATCCGTTGTAGTTGATAATCCTGAATTCCGTAACGCTAATTCTCCACAAAATGGACAACGTTTCCTCGCTTCTACTGACTTTTCTCAGGTATTTATTCAGAAGAGATTGTTTTTCCATCACTTTTAGAATGTTCAATTATATAACTTTGGTAATATCAGAATACTTCTTCTTGATCTAGATCAAAAATCAACCCCAAGTAATCACTCGTTCAAACGGAGCACCATTCGAAGAAAATTCTCCATTCATTGCCCATGACCCATCCCCATCCATTGTTCCTAGTCAAAGATTAAACGCTGAAGAAAATAAATCGAATCAAAACAGACTGATCGAACTTCTGACAGCGCGCGGTAGTGTTTCTGAGGTAGCTATCTTCATTTTGATATATATATTCTTTTGACTTATCAAGTTCAAACATCGTAAACAAATTGTCGATCGATCGGTCATTCCAGGTTGGATTCGGTCGTGCAGGAGACTTAAGCAGACAGAATATCGAAGCAGGACACGTACGTGCACGCGTTTTGTCCGCAACACCAGCACCTGACGATGCAGAACCAACCGATCAACGTGTCTCCACCAGACGTGTCGTAGTTAGCAGACCAATTGAAACTCTTCAAGAAGTTGATGTTGTTGAGCCAGCGACTAAACTCGAAAGAGTATCCATTCAACAACCAACTCTGATTAAAACAGCTCGTTTGGATCATGTTCAAGTTCATGGCTCTGTACCAGTCGTTGGGAAAGCTTATGCMCCAGCCGTAGCACACGCTGCTGTTCCTGTTTATCAAAAAACTATATCACCTGCTTACGAATATTATCATTAATTAGATTCTACCCGAACTGATCGAATTTCATAAGTTTGAAAAAAGATTCGTATACATATTTTTACGATTTTTACGATTTTTCTTTTCAAACTTATCGACGATACAAATATAATATAAATCCTAGGGAAAATCTTGCCTAATCATTCATTCGAAAAGTTTGCAAGGATTCCAAATGATTATTCGCGTATCGACTGACTGATTACTAAATTCCTGTTTCATGAAAATGATACAAAAAGCCCTAGCCATTAAACTTGTCATTCAAAATATGAGCTACATTTTTTGAAAACATTTTTTGAAAACATTTTTTGAAAACATTTTTTGTATACTTTCATAGAAAAACAACTTAAGTAAATATATATATATATATATATATATATGAATGGAAATAAAAAAAAGAATATGGAGATAGAAATTCTTATGATGATTTTGACAATTCTTTTTGCTTTCTTATAAATTATCCACATCAAATCTACTAACTATTTATAATATTTCAAAAATACAATCATCTTTATAATAAATAAATGAACAAAGAAGCAAATTAAAAACGCCCATAAAATAATGTGTGCTCTTAGTATATAATCAGAACCATGAGCAATATACTTGAAATAATGATAATATTAAAATTTGATAAACGATTAAATCATTCATTGAGAATTGTGTTATCGAGAAACGACAAGAAAAAACACTAAAAGAGGAATAAGAAAAATAATAATAGGTCAAATTCTAGATTTCAAATCCGCAATATAAATCCTTTATCAAAATATGATATGCCTGGAGATTATTAAAAATAACTTGGGCAAGTTTGATTACTTCCTGAATCGATAATGGAATTCTAACAAGGGCGACTGCTCTGTCAACTAGTTACTGCCTTTAAGGTCGCAACATTGACCCGAATACCAGAAAAATATCCGTTCGTTCTCTCCTTTACTTTCGACGAACGACGACAACTCGAAAACAGCGAATCTACCAACTATAGAAAAATCTAATATTAATAAAATAGTACAATTTTAACATAAAATGTAAAAGTTTAAAAACTTTAAAAAAAGGAAAACCCGCATACGACTGACAATGAGATCAAAATAACATTAACTCGAATGCAATGTTTTGCGCTTCAAAACTCGATATTGAAGTAAGATTTATGCGTAAAATGTGGATAATACAATAAAGTGCGGATATCAATATTATTTGAATGTCATCATTTTTGAAAAAAAAATTCCAACTCAAGTTTTCGCTTAGGCCATTGGGATTCCAAAAGATCAATACGTAATGTCTTCACGATGGATGACAATTTACTTATTATTCATTACTCGTGCGTAGGAAATAAATGAATTGATGTAACGTTGTTTGTTCTCCATTGAGTTGGTCCGTAGGTTTGCATATCTACACAGAAAAACTAAAAAAAGAACAACTTGATCGCCTAAATTTGTGAATTTCTTAAAATAGCTGATGGAATATTACCAACAAAAAATGAATTCTAAGATTTTAGTTATAAGCAAGTAGGACAATGAAATTTCTTTGGAAATTGAAGGTTTCACCAAATGTTTAGTTTCATCATATCGCACGTCACGTACGATTTGATGCGTGAACTTGTTTCAAACTTTCGTTCACGAACGAAATCGGTATCGTAACGGGCGGGCGGGTGCGCCGGATACGCCCACAGAATTCGGACATTTTTATGTGAAAAGTGAAACTAGGATAGAAAATACTTGTAAAATATAATATATATGTTACCGGCAAAGGTACGAAATGCCTGTCGTTTTTAGGTAATTTTCCTAGGCATTCCATTTCCTAGGCTATAGAATGACAAATGCTATTTAGGCAATGTTGAGAAAAATAAATGATGACACAGAAGCGATCAAGCGAGCCGAAAGGAGAAACGATAAAGGGGAACATCAAAAATATATAGAAAATATCAAATAAGTATAATAATTCGGAAAGAAATAGTAATTGTTTAGAACTCGTTTGATTAAAGTGAATCATCATCTTGTTTATAAAAATAAGAAAGTAAGGTAAAAATACATAGATATGGATCAATGAAAGCAATTGATCGATAAACCCTTGACTCGATTAATCCGAAGATCGATGGCCTCGTCTCGAGGATAAGGACAAAGTTAACCGATAGAAGGACCAAAGTGACGACTAGGCAATGACCACGAGTCTTCAGATGTAACCTTAGCTCGAGTGGAAAGCACTGGTCGAGCAACTCGTATATAAGTGACGCCGTCATGGATCGTGCATTCAGTTAGGCACTTACAAGGGAAACCTCGTCCATATCTAAAAGTCTTGAAGACTTCAAAACTCAAGATCGAGAAGTAGGTAAGCAAAAAAGTAAGGAGAAGTATGTGAAAAGTAAATGTATGTGCGTGTATGTGTATTGAAAAGAAAAAATACAAGATTAAACACAACGGACAGAGAAGAAAAATGGTTTCTAATTCAAATCTACAAATGAAAAGGAACGGAAAATAATGTTTTGAATTCTCTTCAAGGTGATTAATACGATTTAACGATATTAAATTCAATAAGAAAGATAGATCACAGCAATAACGATCGTAATCAATGCTTAGAGTATATTCGATAACAGTTGCGGTGAAATTTTAATCCGTTCATGGTTTTCTGCGATCTATCTTTCATTCGTCCTAGAGTACAAGAATAAGAGTTAACGATTCTCTTTCGACAGATTCAAAATACAATTCTTAATTGTAAGTTTGTCACCTTAGAATCTTAAAGGATAATCAAAAAATATTATCCAGGTAGTCCTCATTTTTCATTATTAGTTTATTCGTTCGTTTTTTTTCATAGTGTTTTTATACTATCGCATCTCATCGTGGCGAATTGAATTTTTATATATACATATTTTATAATATTTTTCTTGATATATTTTATTAACTAAAATATTACGACATTATTTGCAAGATAAGTAATTATCTAATATTATCCATTCTTATCTTAATATTTGTAATCGTTAAAAAAAAAAAACCAAAAATAAACATAATGAAATAATATAAAATCTTAGAAGTAAATGTATTGATTATTTTGCATGTAGTTTAAAAGCTATTCCTTTTACAGGTAAGGTGGGCAAAGTATAAACATTGGAAAAGGTGTAAGCCAGTAATCAACTTCATTGAACGTTTCGAGCAATGGATATCGTCATTCTTGTCCTCGTCTTTGCTGGAACTTGTGCAGCTGCCCCACAATTCTTGACACAACCTGAAACGATTTATGCGCATCCGGCAGTATTGTTGAACACAGCAATGGAAAATACTTTACCGTATCATCTAAGAAATGATTTTTATAAAAATCCAAAAGTCGCTTCCAGGCTTGCAAAGGAATCATGGTTCACTAATAAAGAAATGCAGGTAGAATATAACATTTCTTTTTTCTACTCTTCTTTTAATGTCGTGTCTATATCTTGTATAAATCTACACTCACTTGATATGATGCACTTAATAATACTATATATATTAAAATATACCTAAACTAAATCCTGAAAATATAGCGTTACAAATTTATATTTCAGCATTTTTGAAACAACAATTGTTCAGACAAGAGTTATTTCTTCTCAAGATCGTTATCACAGATAAAAGATAAAATAATTTATAAGGGGTTAAATTATATAAAAACAATAAGAGATGAAGAAAAAACGTTTCATTTCTAAAAAAAATTTCTTATATCATTCGATATTATAATTATTCTTTATTTTTAGGTAATCGATCGCGAGACGGACAAAATACCACGAGAAAAAATATTCGATGTTTTGCATAATGCTGGTCTTACTCTCTTGTAAATAATAATCTCTTGAATATCTCATTGAAATTTTTCTAACATTATAATTCGATGTATAACAGTTTCATATCGTAAGTAAAACAGTATAGAAAATATTCGTTAGGTACACAAATGAACTAATATGTGGTATATACCATTGCTAATATATCAGGTATGTTTACTTCAATTTTTTTTTATAAATTTGTGTTTATAGTGTTCGTGTCATTAGTTAATTGGTAAATTATATAGAAAAACCTGTGGCTATACTTTTGTATAAAAGTTAAGATTTATTAACCATTTGCATCACACTTCTAAATACGTTTCCACCTAGCGCGTTATTCGTTATTCATCAAAACGTTATGCAGACGTTCAATTGACAACCAGCCCGTATCACCGCGCATTGTTTTATAACTACGACGACAGGAGAATATCATTGAAAGCGTGTTATTCCGCAACTGATAATAAGTGACAATCGTCGTATGTGGATTATTCCGCTTTTAGATAAAAAAATAGGTTAAACAAATGTAACGTTCCTGCAAGGGCTGTGAACAAGAAAGAGACTTCAAAAATACATATAATTATATATTATAATCCTTTATTATGATCTTTTATGAACAATTAACGCATTAACAATTATTAGATAAAATTTCATCTTCCTTTAATTAATATTTCTTATAATGCTCGTTTATTATTCGAATATGTATAAAAATATCAAAATATAATTAACAAATATAATAAATTCATTTATATATAAATATATTATGTTAAAATAGATTAAATATACTTAATTAATAGAAAGAGAAATATCAAAATAATACCAAAGAAATATTAGGATATACTTATTTAATTATATAATAAACTATCCATCTACGAGTACTTCATCTAAAAGATCGTTGTATAACTTTTGATGATTTACTTTTAAATTTTCACAGCTCTCCATTTCCTTAATTACATTAAAATTCTTTATTATAAATCTTTTAGCATCTAAATATAACTCATACGCTTCAATTGTATCAGCTAGAATATATGTATCAATTGCATTATTTACATTCATTTCCATTTGTATTATCTTAGCACAATTCTCTACCAAATCATCAATGTGCAATTGATGAGCAGGTATTATCAGTTCATATGCATTTAGACCAGATTCATCTCCTGTATAGATGTAAGTTAATATTTTTTCAAATACATCTGGCGTGATATTTTCTAAAACTAATCTGTTTTGATTTTCGCTCTTGGCTTTAATTATTAATGACTTAAGATAAGGATAATGAGACAATATCGGAGAATGTACGTTAAATTTTTTACCTTCAACATAAATAGTGATGTCACTGAATTTGCCAGTTCGAAGTACTTCATTTAAATAATTCATCAAACTGTTTTCCCATGATATTGGACGGTTAGATTCATCAAAAGCAGTTGCATAATCGTGTTTATCTAACACTACATTGTAAGTTAATTTACATATCAAGTGAAATTCTATTTCACAATTTTTACAAATAATAAATTCTTGTTTTTCGCATTCTCGACTAATATTTATTGACGTTTCTATTATTGTTATTGTCCGCACAATTTCTCTAATTTTGTATTCTATATCTATAACTAAATTTTCTGGTAAAGGTTCGAAAAATCTTAGAAAAACTTGTATATTTTTACAAGAATCGTTTAAACACTTTGAACATTTACGAAATTGCCTATCACAATCAATGCATATTTTATAACGTATAGTTGAATTTGAATACTTTTCTATAAATAAAGGCGATAATAATTTTTCTGATAAGTTAAAAAAATATTCGGTAGAAGTTACATTCCATATATGAGACACGGAAGTTTGTTCTGGTATTGCAGGTACATCCATTGTTTATATCTATTTACTGTTCTATTTAATATCATACATATAATACTTATGTTAGTAATAAATTGTCTATTATGCAAATAAATCTATAAGAAGAATTAATACATTTTTAATATGTTTTCTTTCTTTACTATTTATATTGTTATTAAATAATTACGATCAAAGAAATTCAACTCACACAAAATAATAGGATTTAAAAATTGAATCTTATCTTATATATTTATATATTAACACCTCTCATATAGCACATTCATTTCTTTGGCAAAATGGTTTTTGGCTTTTGAATACTTATTCTAACAAAGAAAATAATTCTTCAATTTTGCAAGGAGATTGAACAATACTAACGATATAACGATTGTACTTTATTTTTACCGACTTCTCACTTTCACCGTAACAAACTCTCTAATGTTCCTTTATATTCGTTAAATTGCTACATTACAATATTATTGTTTGTATACAAATCGAAAGACTCATTTGGAACGTTGATAAATTAAAAAAATTCAAGTTAATTATCTCGTTATGAAAGTTGAGAAGTGTTAATACTGCGCATGCGCATCTGTGTTGATTTTTTAAATACGAAATAGTGGCTGCTTTTGCTAGTGAATACACTGCCAGCGATGATCTGCTTTCTCATTGGCTGATCAAATACTAAAAATTATTAATATTTTTAAATCGACCTCGATTTAAATAAATGATGATGTATCATATCAAGTATTACACATTACGTTCGATAGATATATTTATAAATTGTATAAGAAAATTAATAATTTAATAATATCGAAAATTCGATCTAGTTATAAACGCAAAAAACCACCAAAAATAATAACCACAAATTCTTGTATGATCAAAGACTGCATCTTGCCTCAATGTTTATTTTTGACAAATAAAAAAACGAAAATATTTCAAAGTGTAGTTTAAAAAAATTGCAAAAAGAAAAAAAATATATATAGCTGTAACTGTAATTAATGTATATCTATCCAAATATACGTTTACTGTTCTTACTGATAAAATGAGTTCCAAAACGTATTTTAACTTTATATTAGAAAGAATTCATTCTCCAGGCCTTATTATCTTAGATAAACCAGGAAAAACAGTATGAATATTTACTAATTACAATTCTAACACTGATAATATCAATATTTTCTTCTATAGAGAGCCTGAAATGTTTTCTTATTTTTAAGCGTAGAATACACTCACGTTTGTACGAAAAGACCTCAGACATTCTGCATTCTGTATTTTGTATATATATGCTTATTATTAATAATCATTATATTACTTAATCTTTCAATTATTTTTCAGTATACATGCGGCAGAGGAAAAGAAAATCAAATATTATGTCTTAGCCTTATGGTATCCCGTAAGCACTGTCTTTTTTTTCGTAATGATAATGAAATATATGTTATGGATTTGGAAAGCTCCAATGGAGTATATGTCAATGATGTTAAACAACAAGCAAGACATATGGTTAAATTAAATAATAATGATATTATTGGAATTGGTTGTCCAGATTCCATGGATAAAAGTGAGAATATGTTTATTTATAAATTACGTTTTATTAGTAATAACAACTTGTTAGTAGATCAGAGTCCTATTGAATCATCAAAGGAATCTCTATGCGAAGATATAATAAGAACAAATATTGATGAAAGGAATCATTCATCGTTTGAAGACAATGTAAATAACACAAATAGTTTAGTTTCATCGAATGATATATCAGAACTTCCAAAAATTATAAACAAGACTTGTCAAATAGAAACGTCTAACAAGGAATTTTATAATGGAACCAACAAAATTAATTCCCATCCAGAAATTGTATTGTTAAATATTTGTACAGAAAGTAATATAATAAAACAAAATACTACACATTTGGATGCTAATTACAATAGTGAATGTCAAGGAAAAAATGATACCAATAAACATAAAAACTTATCGGGAATTAAGGGTGCACAGGAAACGATAAAACAGAAATATCCTTTAAAAAAAAAAACAAATGATCTTGAATCTGTAGAAGAAAACGATGGATTCTGTATTGATTTACCTATTAGTGTTAATACGAAAAGAGTAAAACTAAATCATGACAATAAAATTATGTCTGAAAGTATTCCCAAGATAATATCCCATGAAACTAATTTAGTATATGTAAACCATAATTATGATGGAAATGTACATACGGATGCTAGTAGAAATATTAAAATATCATCACGACAACAGGATTATTCTGAAACTGTGAAAAAACTTGAAAATGTGGTACATAACAATTCAAAGGAATATAATGAGCCAATAATGACTAAAAAAAAATTAAACATGCTAAATGATAAATCTATAAATATTGTACATAATGGTGATCATTTTATTAAAATGGAAGAAGAAATAATAATAACTGATGATGATGATGATGATGATGATGATCAAGAAAAAAAAGAAATAGAAAATAATATAAACAATTCTAAGAGTTATACTGAATCAATAATTAAATTAAAGCAAGTCAAGCAAGAGCCAAAATTAAGATTTTCTGAAGTTGATATAGTTAATATAAGCGACGACGAAGATAATGTATTTCCTTGCTCTCAATTGTTTGATTCTAATATAGATTTAAGTTCTGGAGTAAAGAAAGAAATGAAACGGGAAAATAATGATAAACACGATGAGGATATCAACAGAATTGATGATACAGAAATAATTATTTCATTGTCTGACAGTGAAGATGAAGACAACAAATGGTTAAATAGATTATCTCGAAGTCAATTGCTTAATGATGAATCTTTGGATACAAATATAATTAATAAAGATATTAAAAATATTAAAAAGATATCCAATATAAATGATTCTTCAAATAAACTCAGTGCCAATATTAAAACCAAAAAAGACAATAGAACGGAAGAAGATAAAAAAGGTACGGGTAAAAATATTAAAGACAAAGATAAAAGGATTAAACAACATAAAAGTAAAAATAAATTACATACTATAGAAAAAGATGCACCTGATATTTCTTGTGATATTAGAAGATCGGAGATAGATCACGGTGGTACATCTAATAAAGAACAAGAAGATGTTAATAATAAAAGTTCTCATTCTCTTGAGGAAAAACAAAACGTAATCAATAATAGCACTAATAATAATGTACTTAAGCATAGTTTGCTTTCCAAGGAAAAAATAATAATAGCAAGGAAAAGACTACAAATAATAGATCCACCTTGTATGCCTGTGAAAAAAAAACGAAAAATAATTGATGACATCAATACGACGAAAATTGTAGAAGAAAAACAACATGATAATTTGCGTGTAACAAATAAAAAGAAAAGTGGAACACTTTCTCCTCGGAAATCGAATGTTATCCAATTTGATAAACAACTCCTCCAAACACCTCTTTCAAAAGAAGAGAAAAAGAAGATTGCAGAAAATAGGAAAAGCAAGTTAAAAAAGATTGCTGTAGAAGATAAAAAAGAAACTAATATTAAGCGGATGAAAAATCCTATTTCAAAACCAATAGCAAAAGTATCACTAAAAACGCGATCAGATTTTCTAATTGATGAAATGCAATCAAATACTAGAAATACAATTAGCAAATCAACAAAACGAAAATGTCCAGAAAACAAAAACTATGCAAATAATAGTAATTTAAAAAATAATAATAATACATTACCTTCAAATGTTAAGGATATAAATGATGCAGAATTAAATAAGATTAATGAGACCAACGAGAAGAATAAAAACATAGAGTCTACTGCTACTAATAACTTGAAAGATGAATCAAATAGTAACATTGTCAGAATACAAAAAGAAAATTGTTCTCCTAATAGGCAAGGAATCACTCAATTAAAGAAAAAAAAGAAAAAGGTTTCTTTTAAAACTATCCCTGAAATTCGTGAATACGAAATCGAATCATCAAGCATTTTTAATAAACTTGTAGGTAAAGATGCCCCGATACCTGTTGATAAATTGTCTTCTAAAAAATTAGGCGATACTAATTATTCAAAGTTAGAAGCATTTTTTTTACGTATCTTCTTCTGGAATCCTATTTGGCTTGAAGTAAGTTTAACTTTACTAAATGAAATCAAGACTGTTGACTTACATTTTGTTATTTACAGGAACAGCGACGTCTTAATCGAAGGCCACCTATTCTTAAAGACAATGAAATACATCCTATGCTAACTTATTATAAATCTTACAATGACTATTATAAAATTGCTGAACCTCTATTATTATTAGAAATTTGGTCTGGCATTACTAAAGAGTTTGAGGAGATGGAAAGAAACTCAATGTATGTATAATTAAAAAGTTAAATCAAAAAATTATTGACCAAAATATAAACAAATATATTTATATCCAATAATTGACAGGCGACCTACCGTGATGTGTTCTACAATTGAAAAGTCTTTTAAAAGCACTCATATACCATCTGTAAATCTATGTTTATCAACTTTGTCGGTACAAGTATTAATCACCAAAGAAAATTTTGTAAGAAATTCTTATCCTAATTACGGAGATTTGGTAGTTTTTGAATATGTTAGAAATGAAGAAGGAAAACATATGTTTCACAAAGTATTTGCTTATGTTACAAATATGAATAATATTATTATAACACCGTTTACAGAATACAACAAAGATTTAGGTTAATTTATTATTATTACATTATTTTGTGATTACATTACTTCTTACACTATTTCATATATAATTAATATTTCTTACAGAAAATTACGTAAAAAAGCCATATGCATTATTAACGTATACTCTTATGACAAGAAATGTTGCTGACAATTTTGTAGTAAAACGAATTCAAAGAATAAGAACTGTGACATATCTACGCTCAAATATAAGAATGATTCAAGCAATACAATATCTTCCACAATCTCCGCTTATGAATTTAATTTTATACCCACTGATTGAAACATTTCGATTACCCGAGGTAGACATCCATATGAACAAATCTTTCACAAAGGTAAAGTTATCAAAAATACATGGTACATATGAATTATACACGTTATCTAATTAAAATAATTATTATAAAAACAGGATACATTAAATAAAAAACAATTAGAAGCTGTTTGCAAAGTAACAAGCGCTGTATTTCAAAAGGAACCTAAAATTTGTTTAATTCAAGGACCACCAGGTATATAAATATTAACAAATTTGCATATTTTATAATTTTACATTAATCTCTATAGTCAATGGGCACGATTAGTACTTTGGATGGGTGACCACTTCGGAACGCCGTGTGCTTTTGACTTCAGAGATGCTATAAGACAGCCTTTATAGATAATGGGTGGGATGTGTGGGAAGGTCTAAAAAAGTTCCTCAAACCCATAAAAGGAAAAATAATAACAACACAATCTCTTGATATTATATATTACAGGAACAGGAAAATCAAAAGTTATTGTAAACATTATAACAGAAATATTGTATGGTAATAATAGATATCAAAACAATAAATCACCTTTACGAATTCTCGTATGTGCTCCATCCAATGCAGCTATTGATGAAATTGTATTAAGACTTCTTGGCATTAGAGCTAAAATTAAAGGTAATATCATTTTTGTCTATAATTATAATGTAAAATATCATATGCTGTGAATGAAAAGAAAACAACATAATTTGTAATTTTTATTATATTACTTAGAAAAACGTTTTAAGATGGTCCGTATTGGTAGACCTGAAGTTATGCATACAACTGTAAAAGACATTTCTTTAACTGAATTGGGAAAAAGAGATGTTAAAAGAATGACTGCCAATTATTCTTCCAAAAATATTTCAATTGATAGTTTTGACGAAGAGGTATAATCTAATCTAACATAATCTGCATATTTATTAACTCTACATGAAAAAATTTTAATTCAATAATTATTACTATAAAATTTAATAATTTTTTAGAAAAAACTTTTGGAAGCACGTATCAATGCATTAAAATGTGAAATAACATATTCACAGAAAATAGATGAAACTTATAGGCAACATCTCAAATTGAAATTATTAGATATGAATGCAAAATATGAATTATTAAAAAATCATAAATCGGTAAGTATATAAATTTAATATATAATATAATTATAAAATATAATTTAATATATAATATATAATTATAAAATATAATTTAATATATAATATATTTTTAAAAGTATTAAATATACATTTTTATTATTTTCAACTAATACAAATTATGCAGATGGATGATATGAGTACAAATGAATTGGCAAACTTCCAACGTGTCGCAGAACGTAGGGTTCTTGAAGGTGCAGATATAATAACGTGCACACTTTCTTCATGCTATACTAATCAAATGGAATCCATTTTTGGGTAAGATTAAAATATACAAAAGTAAAGTTATAAAAAGAGATGTACCCTGTTTTGGGAATTTTGGTTGTTTTTGGCGGCGTCTTATATTAATACGTAATCATTTTTATCGTTTATTTACTTGTCAAAAATCGCATAAATTTATAAGCCAACCAAATATATAATGGCTCTCAAATTATTTCTTTTTTTTTCTTTTCTATAGTGGAAATAGGGAGAAAATATCAGTCTGCATAGTGGACGAGGCTACTCAATGCTGTGAAGCAGAAAATTTAATCCCTTTGCTACTAGGTGTAAATAAATTAATTCTAGTTGGAGATCCTAATCAATTACCAGCAACCATAATAAGTCAAGTATAATATTTTATTTAATAATATTATTATTAATATTCTTTACACTAAAATTTAATTAATACAATTATTTTTAATTATTTGTTCAGGAAGCAAAGAAATATGGATTAGATCAATCACTATTCTTTCGTATACAGAATGCATTTCAAAAAATGAAAGATAATCCAATAATAATGTTAAACACACAATATCGTATGGCATATGCTATTTCTTACTGGCCGAATAAGTTCTTTTACGGAGGACAGTTAAAGAATGATATTCCAAACGTACATAGATTTCCATTTCACAATTATAGAATTTTTAATATTAATTCTAATCAAAATGATGATAAATTTTCTAATACAAGTGAAGCCGAATTTATATCTAATTTAATTTTATGTATGATGGTTAATTTCAACTTTGAAAAATGGGAATCCAATGTTTCAATTGGAGTATTGACGCCATACAATAATCAAAAACATTTAATATTGGAAAAGCTCAATGCAAAGTAAGTTCTAAGCAGATCATTTCTTCCTAACTCTTACATTGATATTATTTATTTTTATATTATACTATTGTTGTATGAACCTATTTTTTATACAGGTTATTAACTGTACCTGATAGTATACAAACAAGATTTACCATAGAAATAAACACAATTGATCGGTTTCAAGGACAAGAACGTGATATTATATTAATGTCATGTGTAAGAAGTAGTGGTATTGGATTTTTGTCAAATTCCCAAAGATTATGTGTAGCATTAACTAGAGCTATACATTGTTTAATAATATGTGGTAATTTTACTACATTTATGGTACGTCTCTTGATCTGTTAAAAAAATTTTAATATTACACAAAGACATTATTTCCTTTTATCGCTATTTATATTTATATATTTCTTACAGCGGGATACAATGTGGAATGCATTGATATCCGATTCTAAATTACGCAAAGTTTATTATAATATCGATGTTAATGCAAATTTGTATGAGATAAACAAACACATCGATAGACAACAAATTATTTAAAAGTACTGCGTCTTTTTACCTGTATGATACACAAGCTGTAACAGCATTTCATTCTATTTTATTAAGTTAATGTACATGATGTAAATTTAGATCTTTCTTGTTTCTTACATAACCATTAATTGAATTGTTTTGAATAATGTAAAGAGTAATGGATTACTTATTTCATTTCTTTTTTACGAAGTACTGTATAAATAATCGTATTTATTTGAATAAATATTTTCATTTATATGTAATTATTAACTTCTATTGTCTTTATCATACCTATACCAAAATATCAATAATAATATTTGAAGATACTTTCTCCTTTAAACACTTGTTCTATTTTTATTATAATTTATCTATTTTATTTAGTAAATCACTTCTGTCCATATCTATAAAATTTATGACAAAGATATTTTCATTTATTACTTATCAATGTACACACGTCAAATATGTCACATTGATACATAAGTAATAGATATTCGCAAAATGACATATCGCAAAATATAGATTAAAAACAATAGACAAGCAGTTATCAGCTGTAGGGACCAATTAAAAGTCCCTAATCATCTATAGCGACACAGCGACAGCTCGCGATAGCGTCTCAAAGCATTATCGATATCTCGCAAGGATCGATGTTCTAGGGTAGAAATCCGAGGTATCGGACACGCGAATCAAAACAATATAATCGTTCGAGCGTAGGGTTAGAGTAGATATCCGGTCCCGAGTCTTTCCATTATAAAAATCGGTGAAGCGTGCCTACAACTGAAAATCAGTGTTCTTTTATTATTATACCACCCTAGATCTCAATACTGCAACCGTGGATATACCCCACAAAGTTTTAACATTGGCCACACTGCTTATTGAATTATCGATTAAAGTTAATCGAAATAGATCGAAATAGCCAACCGAATGTCTTCTAGTCTTTTTTTTTCTCTCTCTCTCTCTCTCTCTTTTAAATATTATTAAAATAATATAAATGCACTTATAAAATTAAAATTCACATTGCATGAAATGTACATATTTTTAATCTCTATCTCATAGTCCATAACTTAGTAAGTTTTTTCATCCTTGCTATCTGAGTAAAGTGATTGGTTTATTTTGTTGGAAAAAATATACACGCTCGTTTTGATTGGATGTTTCAAATAATACTATAGAAAATAGCCAATAGCTATGAATGTTTAAAATTAATTAATCAACAACTTCGAATTAGTTCTTTTTAATGAGAATCACCCGACAGTTACGCGGTAGACTGTTATCCAATGTTATCTATTGGTTAATGATTGTAATTGTGCATAAAAGATCAGTTTGGGATAAATTAAGAAATATTATGTTATTATAGTTTCATAGTGATATTATTCATTGAAGTGCTAATTTAACGATGACAATTGTTTACGGATTCATTTTTCTAATCAACAACAATTAGTGAAAGTAGGAATTTTGACGTCAGTGGTGCGTGTCATGATTTTGTTCTTGTAAACATTACGCTTAGAGGCTCAGAAACTATTTCCCTTTTTTTTTTTTAATATACATATGTGTATATATATACACATACAGTATATACATACATACATACATACATATATATATATACAACATCAGGGAAATAGTCAAGTATTGTTGACGTTTTTTCAATCGATAGTAGATCTGAAAATTCTATGAAAATTCGTGAGATATTATTATAAACTGTGTAACATGTAAAGTGTGTGTTCTGCTCTATCTTCGTTGCTTGGTAAGGTTTACGATCTGCCATTAAAATTTGTCCACAAACTAAACGAAAATATAATCTTTTATTCTCGAGAATAATTTCATTGATTTAAATTTATTATTACTACTTGATTTGGTCATTTTTCAATAATATATTTTTTATTACCTAACTCTTGACTATCCATGCGTCGTTTTACGCGCGATAGATTGATTACAATCGAAATTTCAATGTAAGAGACTCAAGGAACAGATTTTAATAATTTAAGAAGGATTTATCATCTATTAATGATAATTTAATAATTATTAGGTAAATAATAACTTTTAAATATATGGTCGTTCATTTTTAAACATATAAATATAGTTGATGTTTCATGTTAAGTAAAAAATGTTAGGTTAGTACATTTCTACATAATATTTCTGATAAGAAAAATGCTCGTAAATTAACTAATATTTTTTATTGTCATATTTCATTTTGAGAAAAGTTAATATTCAATTGTATAAACATAATATAAATAATATTTTTATATCATAATATTTTGTATTATATTTATGTCATGTAATGACACTTGTCAAGTATATCTATATAGAGAATTTTGTATAAAATATTTATATGTATATCTTTGAAATATTTTGATGTTTTGTTTCTTTGCAGGAAATCCTATGATCTAATATAAAAATTGCAAGAATCTTTCTACGTTATAATGGAACAAGTAAATACAACATTGGATGAATGCATTAGTAATGACAAAAATGAAAATATTAATGTAAATGAAGAAGTAGTTAATGCTGTGGAATGTTCTAATGTAGAAAACGATACGAAAGTAACAAGCATAAATCAAATTGAAAAAGATCTACAAGGTAATTGCAAAACGGTGTTATTTGATGATGTTTCTAATGTACGGATTGATATTGAAAATACGTCGACAGAAGAAATAGAAAAAGTAGAAGATTCTAAGGAACGGAAAGATTTAAAAAATAGTAATGAAATATTAATTAAAGAAAAGAATAATGATCTGTGTGAAGAAAATCTGACGCAAAATATCATTACTGTAGAAGCATGCATGGAAAATACCGATGATCAATATTCTGAGAAAAAAATTGACTTCTTATCCGAAAAATCAATCATAGGAGAAAATGAATCTAATCTTGTACAGTGTAATAGTACAAAACCATCAACAATATCCAGAGAAGTAATAATGGATAATAATATAAAGAAAAACACAAACAGTACTATCTGTACGATAGTAAATGTAAGCGAATCAGAAAGTGCCAATATTGTTTGCGACGAATTACTTAATTCATTAAGTAAAGTCTCCAATAATAAAGAATGTTCCTTACATGAAACTATTAAACAGATAAGTAAGGATGACGATAATCAAAACAATTCAATAGTTATGGACGCAGAACTAAGTAAATTAGTTGAAGAAAATTCCGAAGTTGTTGTTCTGACAGTTGAAACCATACCTATTCCTTCCGATTCTAGCAAAGAAGCTATAGTATCGACTACATCGGAAGAAACAATAACAGACACGATAAATAGTGAAAAGGAAGAATTAATTGAGTCAAATAATGAGGATATTAAAGATGATCATAAAAATGATGATTTGAAAGTTATAGATTATCAGCAAGAAGATAGCGGCACTGTTATAGAAGTCATTTCAACAGAGATTGTGCAATCAAAAGATACGGAAATGCGTATATCAGAAAATAAGACTGAAACCATAGATGAAGATAAAAATGAATTAAATACACCATTAAAAGATACTTTAGATAAAAGATTTCATAATAGGAGGGATTTACAAAATGATGATAACGACGGTGAAAATATTTCCCAAAAAAATGACAGCAATAATATTAAGCAGAAGACTTCACTAAAAGTTGACATAAAGAATGAAATAAAGATCGAAAACTACATTAAAATGAGCAAAGCCAATGTACTAGACATCAAAGATGTTTCTACTGAAGATAATGATGTTGCGCTTCCCATATGCACTTTCCAAAATGCGAAATCAGATACTAAAATGGAATCAAATATAGTATCGATATCTAAAAGAAGTGTTATTCAAGATATATTTGACGATTGGGAAGTAGATAATCCTGAAGAAGAAAATCAATCAAATCCCAAAGTACAAGATTCAGTAGAAATTGAACTGAAAAGCTTATTGGATGAACCGAAAAATGCAAAAGTCGTAGATAATACAACACCAATAATAGAAAAGAAAATTTCTTCCAATGATAATAAATCTGTTATTGATATTTCACACAATACTGTAATACTTGTAGATAATACTAAAGACAAACAAAAGGATACAATAATGGAAGAAGAACAAATTAAAAATAAAATTATTGTTACATCTCAAGAAACCTCTGTAGCCTCATCTATAACGCAAGAAAAACTAACTCATTCTTTACCACAAAATCTTGGGAAATCTACGCGCAATGTTACTCAAGATTCAATTTTGTCACATCAGGCAGTACAAAGTAATGTAGCACCGATTAAGAATCGTAATCGTCATTTAACTAGTCAAATAGTTTCACCTGCTGAAGTAACAGAAGTATTAAAGGAGAGATTACGAGAGAAACAAAAAAATGTTGAAGCACCGTCTGGACCAGACATATTTTTTGTAAAAAAAATAACACAAAGGTTATCGAGCAAATTAGCTGGTGGTTCTATATCTTCAATGCCAGCACTTATTCCATTACCACATCCTCCTCAGCTACCATCAGATAGTTTTGGTAAGAAAAATACAGAAAATATTTCTGTGCAATCTCCAAAAGAAGGAAGTTCTGATAACAAGGAATTATTAGCAATCTTAGAAGGTGATGTTGATCCAGATTGGTCCAATTTAAAACCACCTGTACTTATAGACGAAGGAAGAAATTCAGCGAACATTATAAATAATGAACTTAATTCACCTCCTAAACTTGATCCTTCGGTCGAACGTGAACTGGCATTAAAGCAACTACTTGAATTGCCTGTAACGCCATTAAGGAAGAATATGCCTAAACGAAAAAAACCAGTTAAATCAGGGCTCAATAAAATATCTAAAAGCATTGATAAGGATGTTGAAACTGAAAATGAAAATAAAGAGATCGTTAATATTGACTTAATAGACGAAGATGTAAAATCTAATACAAATGATGAAACCCCTCCAGAAGCTAAGGTTCCACGTTCAATTACCCAAGAAGAACAGAGATATCACGATGTAAGCGGGCAAGATGTACGAAGTGATGAATCAAGATCAGGTAGGAAACGTAAGCCAACCGAAAAAGCAAGAGAACATGAACAAAATATAACGAAACGTCAAAAAGTTTACAAAGGTAAAGTCTCCTTGACTAAGAAGTCAGAACCAAAACAAGAGTTGATTGATACAGTTTTGTTAAATAAAAATCAATTAGCTAAGGATAACATTGAGTTACCAGGTAGCACAGATGATAATGAAGAAAAAGAAGCGGTAGCAAAGAAAATAGCTAATAAACAATTAACAATTGAAATCGATAATATTATGCAGAAATCTGAAAATCCACCAGTTAAAAGACCAAAACAAAGTCTTTCTAAAAAGGGACCACAAGCTATTGCACCAAGAAAAATGTTAAAGCTCATGCGACAAAAAATTAAATCAAACAAAAAGTCTGTTAATTTAAAGACTAAGTTAAATACAACGTCAAAAAAATCTAAGAAAGTTACAAAACCACAACAAAAACGTAGTACAGCAGATTCAACATCAGGAGACGTCAAGCCTAAAAAGAAAATTATTAACGAAATAGATAGATTACTTCAAGATGAGGGAGTTGTAAATTTATTATATGATGTTGAACAACCTGACAAGAAACGTTTAATACCTATTACAAAATCACAAACAAAAGTGATGGATTTACAGAAAGTACAACGCGAACTTAAAATCAGAAAAAAGTTGGTACGTAATGCAGTTCTAAGGTTGCGCACATCTACACCTGGTATAACAAAAGTATCGCCTAGATCCACAAGAACTACTATACATTCAAATGATTCACGAAATGATCAAAAAACGAATGAACAATCCAAAAACACTAAACCAACCAGTGGGTCATCGCCAGCAGAATTTGTATATCCTGCAAAAATTAGAAATGCTGCAGATGCATCGATTATAATTAGAAGACATTCATCTAGTTCGTTTTCTAGTGCATCTGGTAGTCCTAGAGTCAGTATTGATGGCCCAGAAAAACAGATTTCTGATAGTGCTCGATTAGATGAAAGTTCACATTCCCTCAGATCTACGAAAAGGAGACATTCGCAGGAAGATAGAATGCATATAAAAAGAAACAAAAAAAAGGAATCAAAATATGATGCAGATACTGTAATCGCTTCAAATGAGGACAAAACAACAGCAATAATGCGACCAAGTAAAAAAACAGATTTGAAGAGGCCAGACAAAAATATTAAGCAATTGGAGTCCTTGATCAGCGATGAAAGTAATAGCAGCATTCAAAGTAAAGTCATTACAAGATCTAATGGTGCAGCTGCGGGTAAGGTAACATCCAAAAGTAAAAAAACTGCCAAAAGTAAAGTCACTTTTGCAAAAGGAAATGACATTGATGAAAATGAATGTGTATCAAAGGAAGAAGATGAATTATCCGCCTGTCTTGCAGAGGCAGCTACTGCTTTATCAATAGTGAGTGCCTCTAACCGGCCAGGTAATACTACAATGAACCGGAAAAATAAGGGTAAGAAGTTATATTGGTTTTAAACATAGTATATATATGTATGTGTATTATTTTAGAAAATTATTCTTATTACATGTTTTTTTGATAAATGTTCCTATTTCTATTTTGTTTTATTCTGCATAAAATATATACTATTATTATATACGCTAAAAAATACAAATATTAAAAGTAGTTAACATAAATTTCAGTCAGTCCAAATATTACTAAAGTATTGGAATTTACTGGTAATAAAACAAAAACAGATAGCAAATGTCAATTCAGTAATAAGGAAATAAATGTGCGTAAGCATGGCTATCTTGTACAATTGATACTTACTCCTTCATCTCCTACAAAAATAAGAAATGCTCTTACACTTCAGGTAAAATAATATACATGGTAAAATAGTAATGCTGAATAATATATATAGTAATTGTTATATTAGCACATTGAGCATCTCCTTTGCATATTGCAAAATTCCTTTTTTATTATATGTAAACATTTTTTTTACTTGTCATTGTTTATTTTTATGTGTATTTGTTTTATTTCTAACAAAACACAGACGATGGTCTGTAAAAGATCAGATTAACAATTACTCTGCCAAAATATATTTGGAGATCATTATCTATTTCATCGTAATGTGAGCACTGGTGTGTACAATGTGTTAATAATAATTTTTAATATATTATTACATTTATCTCTCGCTTAATTATAGGTAATGCAAGAATTTCGTGAAACATTGACAATATTAACAAAAGACGATGACTGTAGAGTAGTACTCTTTACTTCAACTGGTACAAGTTTTTGTGAAGGCTTAGAACTTTCCTCGTTATTGCATCCTAATAAAGAAGAACGACGACTTCTTGCTCAGGAAATGGCAGATGCTGTCAAGTATGTCATTTTTAAATATTACTTGCGTATAATATTTGTAATAAATATATGTAATAATAATATGAGTAATAATAATATGAGTAATAAATATATGAGTAATACTGTAATAAGATATGTAACAAATTTGATAAATATTTATATATATTTATAGAGACTTTATAAAGAGTTTAGCAACTTTTAATAAACCCATAGTAGCCGGAGTACAAGGCGCTGCAATTGGATTAGGTGTAACTATGTTACCTTTATTCGATCTTGTGATAGCTAGTGATAAAGCAACATTTAATACTCCTTACGGTAAATTGGGGCAAATTGCAGAAGGTGCAGCTGTTTTTACTTTATCACATATTTTAGGAAGTGCAATAGTAAGTGTGTATATATAGGAAGAATATTAGCATCGAAGAATCGAAATGAGTATAATCATATCTAATTATCATTATAGACAAGTGAACTACTTTTGGGTGGAAGAACTTTGACAGCGAGTGAAGCATTAAGAGCTGGACTTGTTACTCGAGTTTTATGGCCAGACCGATTCCAAGTAGAATTATTACCTTCTTTAAAGGCTATGAGTGAACAATCGTCTCAGGTAAAATTATTTTCATTGCATTAATATATTTTTTTAATTATTATCTTTATAATCAATTTTTCTTCCAACAATAAAACAATTGAAGCATACAATTTGCAGTTGCCATTCTTTGTTATTAATTATCTATTTTTTTTTTTTTTATTTGTAGTCCATGGAAGCAACAAAAGCTTTGCTACGTCATAGTCTAAGAAAAAAATTGGATGCAGCATTGGAATCGGAAACATATTTATTGATTCAAAACTGGTGTTCTACAGAATGTCAACTTGCTATAAAAGCTTACATAGATGGAAAGATAGAATAAAAAATGATAATGGTAACAATTGCGTATACTTCTCATTTTACAAATGGTTATCATTAAATTTAGGATTGGAATAAGATTCGAAAATAATTAAGAAGTGATTAAGAATATTCTGGATAAAGAA